CCAGGTGGGCAACTGGGGACACCAGTGAAGGCCGGGTTTGGGGCAGCCACACTGAGATGCCAAAGCCAACCTGACCCCTCCATCAGGGTGGCAGAGGGACAAGCAAAAGGGAGGACACCACCATGGTGGAGGAGCGTGCACTGTCCCTACCTTCTCTGCAGAGCCCAGGGATGTGTGCTCCTTCACCCGGCACTCGAGGCCGGCAGCGGGGCAGCACGAGGCATGTGCCATCACCTCTGTCCTGCTGGCGCAGTGGCTGGGTCCGCTCCCCAGCCCCGCGACGGGTCTCCCGCCATCACCCAGTGCTGCGGCAGGGGAGTGGAAACTGCACCCTGCCGCAGGGAGAGGGGCTGTCAGCACAGGGCGGCCGCGGCAGCATCCCAGAGCACATGCAGGCACTCAGGGATGTCCCCGCTGAGCCCTGAGCCTCCCCTGCCTCCATGCAGGCAGCACGTGTGCCCCTTCCCTGTCAGCTCAGCACTCACACCCACCCTTTTACCCCCAGGTCCCAGAGTTTTTCTGGAACACCTGTAGCCATCAGGGTGTCGGCTCCAGGCTCTGTAACCCATCGTGTTGGGCATTACCGGTCAGCACATGGTCCCGTGGGGAGCAACCGGCCCCCTTGGCCACCGGGGAGCTGGCGTTGATCTGGCATTTGGCCCTGGGCCATGTGCAGCACCTGGCGATGGCGTAGACGCCCTGGCCCCGGAAAGCGTTGTGGGCGACGCACTGCTTCTGCCCGTCCTTGTCCTGCGGCCAGGGCAGCATGGCATCACTGGGGGTGCTCGGGGGCCTGGGGACCTCCCACCAAGGCCAGCGGGCACCCCAGAGGCAGTACTTCTGTCTCCACATGCCCTGCTCACCTCCATGTGCTCCCCCAGCCGCCTGCCGCTGCGGGAGAAGCTGGAGCAGCTGAGCATCTCCTCGGTGCCAGCACAGCGAGCCACAGCCGTGGCGTGCCGGGTGAGCCCCGAGCGCGCCGACCACACCGAGCGGCAGTACAGCTGCTCATCTGCAATGGGGCAGATGGTGTCAGTGGCAGGGTGGACCCCCCACAGTGGCACCCAGAGCCCACGGCACAGACTGGGCTGCCAACAAGGGCTGGCAGGTCCCCCCCCGCTTCCCTCTGCACGCAAACAGCCATGCTCGGGCTCAGTCATCCCCAGCACAGCTCGGGGAGGGACGCACCCTGTAGATGTGCTTTCACCCAGGCAGTTCTTTCCCCAGTAAGGGCAGAGCTCTGCCGGGCACTCAGCGGGCAGACGAGGTCTTTACCTGAGCCCAGCCGGGTGGGCAGCCCGGCCACGCTGTTGGGCGTCTGGAGCCGCTGCTCCTCAGGAAACCACGCCGTGTCCATCACGTTCTTGGTGGCAAAGTGCAGGAGGCGCTGCCGGAGCTCGTCGAGGCTCAGCTGAGGCTCAGCGCTGAGCAGCATGGCAGCAATGCCTGCCATAGAGCCCAGGGGAGTCACAGTGAGAACCAGGGGCCACAGAGCTACCTATGCACAATTCCCCTGAGCAACACAACTCCAGAGAGACAGGAGAAGGAACCACTGCAGTCCATCAACTGCATGCAAGGGATGCGGGAGCTCTGTGCAGGCTGCAGCACCCAAACGTGCCAAAACCATGGCACACAAAAACATCCCCAGCACAGGCAGCCCTGATGCCCTGCACCTGCAGGGATATGTGCCCAGTGCCAGCACTGCTCAGGGCAAGCAGAGAGCCAGCCCTGCCCACCACCCCATAGCCCAGCTCACCTGCCACATGCGCAGCCGCCTGTGACGTCCCACTCTGTGCTGTGAAGCACGTGCTGCAGTCACTGGAGGCGCCGATGATGTCATCCCCTGGGGCAAAGAGGTCCACGCAGCGGCCAAAGTTGGTGCCCAAGGTGCCGATGGAGGCGGGTTGGTCCTCACTGTTGGTGGCGCCGACTGTGATGACCTGCCAGGGCAGTGATGGAGGGGGATGTGGGCAGGACAGGATCATAGAAACATAGAATCATTAAGGTTGGAAAAGAGCTCCAAGATCATGAAGTCCAACTGTCAACCCAACACCACCATGCCTGCTAAACCATGTCCCCAAGCCCCACATCTATACATCTTCTAAATACCTTCAGGGATATGGACTCAATCACTTTCCTGGGCAGCCTGTTCCAGCGCTTGACAACCCTTTCAGTAAAGAAATGTTTCCTAATATCTAATCCAAGCCTCCCCTGGCGCAACTTGAGGCCATTTCCTCTTGTCCTATC